CCCGACGTCGGGAACTGCAGAGAAGGAACCTGGTCGAGCCCTTGCAAACGAAAGCAGTAGCGGGTCTGTGCAGGCAGGGGCCCTTAGTAGAATCGGCGACTCAAGGCACGAAAGGTCAGGCACAGGCAAAGCTACAGATAGTCGGGAAAGGCTCCGGAGTGGCAACACAACGTCCGGCGTAGCAGAATCGATCGCAGGCGTCGAAAGCCCCGAGCATGCCGAGCACAAAATAAAGGGAGATGCATCCAACTTGCCAGAGCTCTTTAGGGGTGACGTAGAGCCGGCACTGGGGTCGATGGCAGGCACGGGAGCATCCGGTGTAGCACGCCCAAAGGCTGCAAGAGGAGAACCCGGACAAGCAGAACTGCGCAATGCGAAAGAAAACCCTGGGAACAGGAAATCCAACACTAACACCATCAATCCAGACCGGGTTGCAGAACAGAGTGCTGAAGGCAATCCCAGCCTTGCCAAACGCCGCATGAGCAGGAAAGATCCGGTGCTCGTGACGTCCAGTATCACGGACGGTGCTCCGGAGCAATTCATGCCGGGTGCCAGCGATGACATCCCGAGCCAAGCGCAGTTCCGCACAAGTGGGCTAGCTCCGAAGCACCCAGTGTCAGGGACTGAAGGCGAAGTCTCTGCCGTTGCACATCCGAAGAGAGAAGGCACTAAGCCCAGGTGGCCAAAGCTCCTTGGAAGCAACGACAACTCGAGTTCAGCGACGTCAAGCACGGGTGAAGAAGTGCCACAACGAGTCACTGAGGAAACCAACGGTAGAAAGCCTGGATAAGAGAGCTGCCGCAACGACAAAAGGCTGCCGCACGCCAAGAGATCCAATGTCACCAGAGACACATCAGAACAGCCCATGCCGAAAGTGAGCGAGAGCGCTCCTGGACGACTGAAAGACTGTACCAATGGCAGCATACCCAATGTGACGAGGTCTGGGGCAGGAAGGGGTGGACCTGAGCAGGTGGCTCCGAAGGCAGATAAAGATAAATCCGACGAGGCACAGGAATGCAGAAGCAAGGATGCTTCTGGGTGCGAGGTTTGCGAAGCAGCTGGGGCCGACTCGGGACATGCGAGTCTTTGCATCGGAAGGGGAACACCAAGGCACGCAAGGTCTACCACGAACATCGCAAAGACACTCCCCGAGCAAGCTGTGCCAAGTACCGGAAGCATCGGGCCGAGTCGCAAAGCGGAGCCGCTGTGCATCGGCGGCGCGAGGCCGAGAGTGGCAAAGCCCGGGGCCGGCACGGAGAGGCTGAGGCAACCAGAGCCCTGCGACGGAGGAAGAGAGCCAGGCCGTGTGCAATCCAAGGCCAACAAAGAGAAAACGGGTCCCACGCAGCTTAAGCCAAGTGCAGGTGTGGAACTGCCGACGCAGCCAGCGCACTGAGGCGATAACAGCATGCCAAGCTTCGCAGAGTCCAGAGCAAAAGCTGCAAAGTCCGTTCAGGCCGAGCTTCTGATGAGAGGCAAACTGTCTAATCGAACTCCATCCAAGGCAAAGAGCAAGGGCCCAAGCCGCGTTTTCTGGAGGATTGCCATAGAAGTACCAGGCCAAGCCTCGGTCAATGCTGAAGCCCAAACATGTCTACAGATCATGTCTATGATCTGACATGTCATTATCATCCGGGTTTATGGGGTCTCATGGGTGGAACGATGCTGTGTTTCGTAGCCATGGGACGTGGTGACATGAATGGTTCAAGACTGCGGTAAATTCACGTGGCAAACGCTCTCGCTAGGCAGAAGCACTAGCAATCCCCTAGCTCCACTCAGAAACACGAGCAACTGAGTACCAGACAAGGTGTCTCGGGAGCAGCAGCATCTCCGCACGTACCGTGTCCGAAATTGGGAGAGCCAGACCTAGCCAAGCCCGACCAAAGGGAGAAAACAACAGTTCCAGCTGAGTGACACGCTTTAAAGACAAGGATGCTGCCAGGTGTGAAAAATCCAGTTGCGGCGACACACTCCCAGGCTATGCAGAACTTTGCAGCAGCGGCGGACTTGCCATGTGAACAACATCAATCACAGGAGGTGAGAAAGCAGGCCCGAGGCGACTCGAGCCCATGGCAGAAGGAAGCACTCCCAGGTGGCCAAGTATCCTCAGGAACATCGAAACACCGACTTGCGCCAGGTCCGAAGCGGCCATGGCTGTGCCAAGCTTTGCAAGCGAGCGAAGCGGCACTGACGAATCGAGCAGAGAACTTTCTGAAGCGGACAAAGGGGACACAGGACCTGCACGGGTCAAGCCTGATGCCAAGACAGTCGGGCCAAGACATCCGAGACTCCTTGTGACTGGGGAGCTGCCCGAAGGAGTTACATCCAAAGCAGTCAGAAGAAAGTCCAAACAGCCCAGGCTTCGCACCAGGGGCAAAGAACCAAAGCAAGCATAGTCGTGAGTAGACAAAGCAACTTCCGGCCTGCCTGCACACCGGGCGAAGACGGTGAAGCCTGGAAGTCCCACATCCAGAACCAAAAGACTTAGATCAAGGCGTGCAGAGCCGGCCACCGCCGCTGAAAGTCCAAAGCGACCCAAATTCCGCAGCGAGAGTGGGCTGCCCAGGTGCATAAATCCAGACACCAGGAGTGGCAGACCCAGGCAAGCGAGCTGCTGGGGGGGCGACAACGGCTCGAGATGCACGGGATCCAGGACCGATGGCGCAGACGCGATCCTTCCGCACGCAAAAACGGAAGCAGAAGGGCCAGCCTTGCCGAGCTGCTGCAAGAATGTCGCGACACCAAGGTGAGAAAATCCAAGGACCAGCACATGAAAGTCCAGGTGTGCCAAGCCACGTGACAACAGCAGGAATCCCAGAAGCAGGAAGTCCAACGCAAAGGGGCTAGATCCGAGACGGACTTTCCCGCAAACCAGCGGCAGCGCAGCCACTCGTGCGAAGGACCGCAAAGCTGAAGAGGTTTCGAGCCTGGCAAAGGCAAGAGCGAAGAGCGCTGAACCCATGCGAGCGGAGCTCCGAAGCAGCGAGGCGGAGCCAAAGAGGCCGAGGTCCAAAACGGCCAAGGAGAAGCCCAAGGAGCCAAGGCCGACGAGGAACGAGAGGGCTCCTGTTCTGGTGAAGCCGCGCAGCAGCGACGAGAGGCCAGCGTGTCCGGAGAGCAGCACTGGCAAGAAGAATTCCATCCGGACGGATGCCCGAAGCAATGGGAAGGATCCCGAATGACAGCTGTCCGGCACAGGAATGCTCAAGCCGAAGCGGGACATGAGCATGGCAGAAGAAGTGAAGCCCAAATGACCGAGGCTCCGAAGTGAAGCGAATGCTTCGGTGTCAGCGCAATGCAGGGCAAAGACTGGGACATCAGGACGAGCCAAGCCCCTTAATGTCAAGGAAGCTTCTGGCTGGGCGTAGTCCAATGCGACGAGCATTGAACCGAATTTCGTCCTTCCGGTCACAGACAGGAAAACGCCTAATCGGGCGGACCCTCGAGGAGACGACGGCGAAGCTGGCTTCACGAGATCCGACACAGTCGGGACAGAGCCCACACAGGCATAGCTTTGCAGGAGCAGAGGAGTATCCAGTGTTGCAAAGTCTGGAGCTAGCAAGGAAGGGCCCAAGCGCTGACGGCCGAATTGCAGCAGCACGGGATCTGCTCAGGCAAGGCTGCGCAGTGCCAGAGGCGACCCAGAATCGCTGTGGTCGGAGATCAGCGCAGTGGAATTCGAGCATGCAGAGGATTTCAGTGACGGAAAAGCTCCCGAGCAGAGAAAGTCCAAGGCCGACGTGGCCGGCCCCAACTGCGACCTCCCGAAGAATGAAGGCCTGAAGTCCAGGCAGGCGGCAGGTCGAACGAACGGAGAGGAGTCGAAGCCTGCAAAGTCCAACACGGAAAGGCTGCGAGCGCGAGAGTGACCGAAGAGAGCTATCGCTGGATCAACATGCACAAAGCTCCGAACAGCCAGCAAGCTAGCCACTTGAGTTGCAGCCTCCACTTCAGCGTAGTGGGCGCTGAACTCTAGCCGAAGGATTTCAAGCTGGGTGCCGGCATCCGAAAGTGTGATTTTCCACTTTGGCGCCGTCCTTGCGCTGAAAATCACCTGCGGGAAGTCGACGCTGCTACCCTTGGGAGCCTCGGAGCAAAGCAACTTCAAGTATGGTATTCTGGTAGTGCATTTCTGTATTTCTATTTCAAGCGGCTCGCTTTCGGATCTCAGAGTTGGGCTGGATTGATTTCCAGCGGGGCAGGGAGCATAGCGATGCCATCATCTTTCAGGGCTATCCATGCCCATGACTGCCGGACCTGGGCCCAAAGCACACTGCACAAAGCACAGCTTGCGATTCTTCGACTGCAAAACGTGGCACAAGCCTTTCCGCATGGAGTGGATCAATCTAAGCTGATTCAGCCGGCCTGAATGATCACGAGCAGGCAGAGCGCCAAAGCCCCTGAGAAGCTTCTCGGCATCGTTTTCCTTGTCTACAGTCCCAAGACTCCTAGACTTCGAAGGACTTCCAAATTGGGCCGGGGCTTGGTTACCGTCCCGGTGCTCCTTCGCACATTTTTGGAACGGGACGTATGTTTTGAAAGCTGTGCAGATGATTCCTCTCCTGGGCACGAGCCCTTCAGCACGGGACCTGTCGCAACCCTTCGGGTTCTTCACGATCTCAAGAATCGCTCAGGCAACCGGCCTTCATGCCTTTCACAGGGCCGCAGGCCTTTGACCAGTCATGCCCTGCTCCTAGCATCTACACTTCGCTTCCAACATGTAAACTGGCATCGGGGCGCGTGCAGCGTGATGCCAAGTTGCAGTGTCAGAGGCCCATGTGGATCGTGAATGCTGCGCTCTGCCGTAAGATGCAGTTGCTCCGATCCATTTTTGCCACGCGGAGCGACTTGGACCGAATCTCACGCAAGGCCTTCTGGTCGCCGCAGCTCCTTGGCCAACACTGCATGGTGCACATGCACTCTTTCTTTTACAAGGCCTCTCAGGCTGCATTCCAATTTAGTCCAGCATCGAGCAGACAGGCATGGGAGCATTTTTGGCTCTATGAATCTGGTCCGAGACCTTTCTGTGCCTGGGAACATGTCACAGTACCGCGAGAGACACCCAAACATGAGAGCTGCGACTGCGACTGAGTAATGGGCCTTGCCCAGTGCAGCCTGCAGATCCAACATGGCTAATGCTCGCTAGCTCAAGGCAAACTGACGGACTACCAACGACCGATCTGCACTTCGCTGTGTCTCAACCTGTCGGAAGACCATCCTGTGACACCCCTATGTTCACAGACCAGACCCATGATTCATGATGCAGATGGACCTCAAAAATCACTGTCTGCTGTGAACCCCGATAACTAGCTCTGTTTCAGTCAGCGTGTTGTCATGACATTTGTCTTTTCTAGTGGCCCATAACTTCTGGGCTCACTGCTTGCTCTTCATGAGCTTCTTGGTTGTACGCGGCAGGCCAGGGCATCTAGATCAGATCCATGTAGTCAGTTGCAATGTAATTACATTGCACCCACTATGTTTATCCCGTCCAGGCCCTCTCACGGTGGGTCGGGTTCCAGGTTTCGACGTTTTGAAGCAGTTTTTGGAGGGGGGGTAGGTAGTAGGGCCTGTCATTTGGACGGTTTTGTTCTTGGTCTGTCCAGGATATCGGGCTCGGGTCCCATACTTTGGACGCGCTTTGCTGCCCCCTCCCTGCTTCTCTGCACTCTTTCTCCTCCTTCCTGCCCACCTCCGTTCCCACAGCCCCCAACCCGTCTTCGTTTCTTGTCTGGGTTCTTCTTCGCTCTGCAACTCTTGCTCATTGCTTCCACTGTGCTTCTTTGCCCTCCCTTTCCCCCCTCCGCCTTTTGCAGCATGACTGCACCGAAAACTTAAAATCTTAATCCCCAGCCCTGGTCTTTGTCTGCATAACCGGCTGCTGGCTGCGGGCACGCAGAACGGAACTCGGAAACGGCTCCGAGGCGGCTCTCGCGCTAGCGGACAATTACTGTATGAACATTCTCAGATCATGCCCTATGATTCTATGATTTTTGGGAGTTTCCAAAAATGGGGACCCCAATATGGTACCCTAAATAGTAGGATCCTTACTATAAGGACCCCCAAAATAGGTACCCCTAATTTTCGGAAACTCCCATATGATATGATGCGTCCCATCTCTGGCCTTGACCACCAAGAGCCACGCCTTGTCCACGGCAGCTGGAGCTCCCTTGAGCGCTATGCGGAGGTTGTCCTGTGACTGCAATGGGGCCTGGGGTGTCTAGTGTAGGGGCCTTAGAAATTAAGAAAAGGGCCTGGGGGCATATTATACTGTATTTCTTAATAAGGAACCCGGGTTACCGGGGTTTGGGGAGGTTTGGGCTTTCAGAGCTTAGTTGCCTAGGGTCGGCAGCCTTGTCGTGCGAGAAGCTCGCAGAAGCCTGCGTCGCCCGACCGATCCTCGGCTCCCAACTTCATGGAGATAATCATTGAAAAGAATCCTGGCTCGACCCTTCACATTCCGAGTAGCTGAGGCTTATGATACAGGTAAAGAACAGCTCGAAACCTACATTCCGTGCTCTTACTCATCACCTTTGCGGCAAGCTTCTTTTCCTGCGTCCAGCCTTGCAGCTGACCCTGCGCATTCTTTGCGACGCAGAGTTCCACAGCATCGTGGCTCCTGCAAAAGACCGTCTGCGACCCCAAGTCGTGTCCAAATCATCTGCACGGCCCTCGGACCACCTGTGTAAATCAGTTGCTCATGTTCAGAACTAGTAACTAGTCTTGATCAGGTTGCGGGAAGGTCGCGTGGCTGGGTGTACTGCACGCGTGGGACCCCCCCTACAGCAACTGTACATGGCTGTACTCTGAGGCTCCCTAAAATCCCTAGAACCAAACAGTTAATTCCCTACTTGACCAATGTGGGTGGTTGTCGAAGAAACGGTACGAGTACCTTTTTTGGGTCCCTATTACAATTACAATACGGCACCTATTTTTTCGGGTGCCCAAAAAAGACCCGTAATTTTGACAACCACCCATGTCAACTCTTGCCGGTCCTGTGCCCAAGGACACGGATCTTGGTCAAAACAGTTTCGACCGCCTTCTCGCTTCCGGACACAGTGACCCGGGCAAAAGGCGCCGTCTTGTCCTTCACACCACGGCTGAGAGCAAACGGAGCTTCCCGGGCCTGGGCGCCTGGAGCCAGCACACATGCATTGAGACCTTGCTTTGCGATGTCCTGGATATCAAACTTGGTCTGGGATGCGGCACAAAGACCTGCGAACCGACCAGGAGTCAGGGGAATGCCAGGGGGCACTGTGCTCTGCGCGAGCCTGCGACCTGCTTGCACAGGTGCTTTGGGACTGGGATGCTTCGGCTCGTGTCGCTCCTGAAGAGCTCAGCGGCTCAGGGCTAGCGTCTGGCTCTCTGGCCCCGAGAAAACCCGCCGCATCCCAGGGCTCGGGCTGCGACCCATTCCGGCCTCGCACAGGGCGTCTGATCGAAGGGCAAGACAGGGAAATGCAGATCGAAACTATAGTTGCAGTACTTGATGGAATCCAACAAACTCGAATATCAGACAAGACAGCATGCAACGATATCTGATACGAGCATAGCACTGCAGTGAAGGCTGGGATGCTTCCGGTGTTCTTGATGCTGCTTGCTGGGCCCTCAACACGTTCACAATACTTCAACCCCACCTTCCACCGGCTCCATGACAGAATCCGTCTTGCCGTCCTCCGCAGATCTCACCAACGTTTGCTGTTACTGCGGACACTGCACACCGCAAAATACAACTTCACGGAGGAAGCGACCCGTCTGCAAATTGCACTTGTTCGCTTCTTCCGCGCTAAGAGACCCAGTGCTGCAGTGCCCTCTATGCCTCTATGCCCTCTGCCCTGGCGCTCCTTGACGTTCGAGGCGGGGGCCTCTGCTTTCGCAGGTTGCTCCGTCTGCGCCTCCTCTGCCACCGCCACGGCGAAGTTCTCCTCGGAGCCGCTGAAGTCGGCCTCCGCCACAAGAGCAGGGACCGCGCGGAGCTGGAGATTCGACTGACGATTCGGCTATGCCTAGCACACGACACGAAACCCGCTGTCACGACAGTAATTAGCCTGGGACGAAACTGAGGCAAACTCGAAGCTGCGAAAGGGCATTGTTCCGTGGACTGCATTGGGATGATGGGTGAACCCTGCCAGCGAGTATCACACGGACAACAAAAAGCACGCACTGCAGATAAAACACCAGATGATGCAAACTTCCAACCCAGAGCTGAAAGCTAAACCCAACACCAACCTACAGAATACCAGAAGGCTCTCACAAGAATCTCGCATTGTGGCAGTCCTGAGAGTTGCAGTCGTCCGAGCTACTCTCTGAAGATCCGGTCTCACCCTCCTCAGGGCTCTGAGCACCTTCAGAGACGGCGAACAACGGCAGACTCTGGCAGACCTGTACACAGCAGCTTCCACGCTTCCACGCCTGATTGGCCAGAAGCCTCGGGAGGCTGCTCAGGCGCGGCCCCCGGTTTTTCGGGCGCCTTGGCGTGCTCCTCCTGCGGCTCCTGTTGCAGCGCATATGCCAAATGGCAGGGCAGATTGATGTCACGCTCACGGGCCTGGTTCTGGGATGGTGGTTTCGGAGTGCTTATGTCAGCCTGCGCGGTGAAGGGAGGAGAAGGAGCGCAAGTGAGGAGTTTTCGAGTGCACTTGCGCGACTTAGGTGCCTTAGCGGGAACCTCGTGCTTGGACGCATCCGAGCGCCTGAGGTCCCTGCCAGGTGCCTGAGCCACAGCGTCGCAGCACACAATGGAGGCTCTTACTCTTACTGTCTTACCCTCATTTGAAGCCTCCTGCTCCCGGGGCTGCCTTGGCCCCTCTTCCCGAGCCTACCACGACCGGCCATGAACAGAAAAATGGCATCGGTCCGCCGAGCGCCTTCCGATCACGAGCCGACCGGTCCTGCCTGGGGCGCTGACCTGAGCAAACAGACCATAGAAACAGGCCACAAAGTGAGAGTTTTTACAAGGGGCCCGACCGAGTTTCGGTCTTCGGTCCGCGGGCACATCACGTGCCCTGCTGCCAGAACAGTCTGGAACTGCAAGTCAAGCAACGACGATTCGCGCCTGCGTGGTCTGTCGCTACCTGGTTGGACGTAGTCGCCCCGCGCTGTCTCTGCACGAGCTTCTCTCTCATCCTCCCGGAATCCACCTGAGCAAACGGGGTATGGGCTACACGGATGCAAGGAAGGCAAAGTGCGGCCGAAATTCCACTCGCCGTAGCTGCCTCCCCTCGGTCGCGCGTTAGCCGAACATCAGGCTTCCTCGGTGCGACGAAGGTCACGCGGCCCTGCAGTGTGTTGCACCCAGCTTCCTGCCGAGGGACCTTTCCTTGACCATCACCTTTCGCACACGACGGCTCCTGGAATGATTAGCCACGTCGTTGTAACTGTTTTGGTAGTCTGCTTCGCGGTAGTCCACATGGCGCTCTTCACCATGTCGATGCACGTCGTAGTCTTGGCGTCTCCGCCCGCCGCGGTCGCCGCTGGCCGTGTCCCGCTCATCGCGGAAGCCATGTCGGTCCTGTCGGTCCCGGTCAGGGTCTCGGTCAGGGCGGCGATCAAACCGATCCCTTTCGAGCCGCTGGTCCCTTTCACGATTCGGCCGGAAGTCCCTTTCGGGGTATCGCTCCCTGTTGGATCTGTCTCGTTCATGGTGCTCCCAGTCATGCTGTTCCGCGTAGCGGTCTGGGTGATGATGAACGTAGCGCTCATCCGAATACTGGTCGTGGCGATCCCGATCGTTTACGTGGCCACCTTTGCCACGGCGGTATCGCGAATCATGACGGAAGTCGTCGTCATAGTTCCTTGGCGTAAGATTGGGACGGCCGCGAGCACTCTCGCGCCTGGGCTCCTGACGGTCCTGACGGTGGTCTTGACGGTCTGGACGGTCCGGGCGCCGGAGGGCTGGTAGCTCCTCCCTGACATCTCGAACATCCCTGTCTCGATGGTCTCGGTCCCGGCGATCCCGAAAGCCCTGATTCTGGTTCCCATAGTGGTTGCCACTGGGAGGGTTGCCATGATCTCGACCTACAGCCTCTCTCCGATCTCGGTAGGAGCGGCTCCTGTCATTTCGGACGTATCGATCACCTCGATCTAAACGACCAGCCATCACAAGTGGCTGTTACCAGCCGAGAGATCCATGGCGCCCCACCGTGCCTCTAGAGGAACACAGGGCCCATATGAAGCTGGAAGGTCTGTCAGGCTGTCAAGTGCTGCTCACGGCCATGTCTACCTTCTGTATGTGAGCTCCTTACAAATCTGCTGGACGGGCATTTTCTGCATTGCGAGGATTGGAAGTGTTCTGGGCTATTGGGTCGATAGGCATAGGATGGCATGGGTGTCGGAAGATATCCAAGCCCGAGCCACAGAGCTGCAGGGGACAAAGTCCCTCCCAGCCTTGACAATCTCATTGTCAAGCCTAGCCACGATGTGCAAGTCTAATCAGAACGCTTTTTCTGTCTGCATTCTGCCTCTACTACCATAAGTATCTGGAACCCCAGCCGAGAGTTGAACCCCCATGGCTGGGGGTAGATCCTAAATTGAAAGCCTAACTACCTGAGCTGTCGGCCATCCGCCAGTCTTGCAATCTTGCAGGTCTGCGAAGGCCAGGCGGATGCCCATGGGCAACGAGGAACTTGTCACAACCAAAAGCCGCCTTGCGTGGATGAGCTGCGCCGTCTTCCCAAAGACGACAGGCTTCCCAAACGGCAAGCGCTCTGGGAGGAGCTTGGCAATGTCTTGCGTGTTGACCAGGTCGTGGGCCGCTGCCAGTCCGTCGCACGGTGCTTACAGAGCTTTGCTCCTCAGCCAACCACTGTCACATGCCCGTTTGGCCACCCAAGTCACCGTTTCAAGTGGAATGATTTCCTTAGGGTCCATCAGCGTATCTCAATCTCAAAAGAGGTTTGTTCTTGCATTCCACATGCGAATCACAAAGGAAATGCCAAGCTGCACCTCGCATCTGACAGCATCTGATTTGAGCACGGTGGTCGTCAGATTCCGTTGATGGCGAGGTACTGAGAAAACCGGGCAGTCAGCCTTGCAAACTTGCAAGCACCACGGAAACCAGAAAGCGTGGTGAACGACAGTGTACACCCTTCCGACCCTGCCTGTCCACTCTGCAGCTTCAAGGGCATCAACCAGGACCTTGTGTCTCAACACACGAGTTGACACTTCGTTGGCAAGGAAGTCGCTTCTCCGAGGCTAATCCTCGCCATGCAGTAGCTTGCAGCTTTCCTCCTGTGCCACGCTCTTACCCCTTTCCATGTATGTCGGCTGCCTGCGCTTCCGCCCAGCCCCACATCTTCGTCGTCACGGCGACACAACTACTCTTCGGTGAGCAACCACGCATGGGTTCAACACACACTTGAACTCCACAAGACACCAGCACTTTCTAACAAGCCTCCACAACCTATGTCAATGTCTACCCTGTGTCCCATGCACGGAGTTCCCAGGCTTGCGCGTTCGGTCTTTGAACAGGCGTTGGAGGAAGCAGCAAGAACTCGCCAGACTGCTTACAACCGCTTGCAGATGTCTGTGTAGGACTCTGCATCCCAACTCCGGCACGCTCAGGCGTGCGCATAGCTGAAATATACCACACCGGGAGCGCCGTAATCAATTTCTCACCTCGCGCCCAGCGCGAGTAGTGCACGAGTAGCATGCTCCTGCCTGAGATACTGGTACAAGGTCTCAGGATCGGACTGTTTGATTGCGGAAAGGGGGTTCGCCGCACAACCTTCTGCTGCAGACTTTTCTGAATCTCTCACCGCAGCAATCGCCCCTGCCTGGTGCTCGGCGTATGCCCGACGTGTGCCCAACACAGGTCTTTTCTGTGCATGCAGAGGACGAGGACATCTGAGACCTGGCCAGCATCAGAATCATGACACATACGACAAGGACGGGAAGGAGGCGATTGCCAGCGGCTCAGCATTTAAATTTAGCAGGTGTGCCAGCTACCACGCCTGGAGGTCAGCGCAAGTCCTGTCAGCAGACACAACCACGCGCTTCGCGGCTCGAATCGCAGGGCAGCGGCCTTGCATCAGGTTTCTTGTCAGAGATCCAGGCAAGAATTGCCGCTCGAGCTCGTTCTGCAGCCAGAAGCCTCAACTGCGACCGCGGCGACAGCGGCTGGTTGCGGCATCACCCGGGTGAGGGCAGAAGCCTAAGCTCAGAGCCGGCAGAGTCGCGGAGGCCGTGCAAAGCGGTGGTCGCTGCGGACTGGAGCCTTCGAGCTGCAGCGACAGCACGGCGACACGGCGACACGGCGACACCCGGCAATGCGTGGCGCCTTCGGCGAGCCGGCGCTGCCGCCTGGCCCTCATCGCCTCACGTGCTTTGTGCTTTGACACCTAAACCCTTCAATCACCGGACGAGGCTGGAGCTCAGCTGATGCCTCAAAAAAGCATGTGAGGAGCGCGGATACATGTCACGTCACATGTTGGTGTTGGGATATGGGCCTGTGGAACATCTCTGATAGCTCTGCCCGAAGCCCTTCGTCTTTCAAGCCTGCTCAAATGCTGATGCTCGAACACTTTGCCCACCGCATGAAAACTTCAAGCGGCCTTGCAAAGGGCTCACCAGGTCCCACAGCAGGAGCCGAACCCCGCTGAGAGCCTGCAATCGTGCTCCAAAACATTCTGGATTAGGGTCTAGAGTCTAGGGTTTCGGTTTGACTCCAACCCATGTCAGCCATCTCAGGCTTGCTCGTTTGTCGGCTGGCGCAGCAAGCGATGCAGCGTCGGCGCCTGTATCGATGCTAGCTGACGGGCATTTGAGAAAGCAGCGAAGTGCGCCTGCAAGTAGTTCTCACATGCCCGGACTGCCCCCAACAGGACCACAGCAAGGCCACCAATGTGGGCGGCTGCATTCTTCGACCACCATCCTACATCGCTTTCGCAGACCGGTCACCAAGCAATCGCAGTCTCAAGTCTCAACTGACAGCCTTCTTGCTGGCTTGCTCGAACGAGCAAGCGGACGGCCTCCAATCCACACCAACCGCAACACCGGATCAAGGCTCCAAGCGAAGTTCTCGAGTGTCGGACCCACACCCAGGCTCCCGCGCCAGCACAGCCCTTGCGATCAGCTCTTATGCTGTGCTGTTCCACTGCCCTTCCCGCTCGGTGCCCCGCAACACCCACAGAGCTGAGACCTGCTGCACCTTCTGCGGTGCGGCCATGACCATCACGGTGTTGACTCGTCGGCACACGCCTTCTGGATCCGAAGCTGAAGAGAGCCTGCAATCGTTCGGCAGGCTCTTACAAGGGAGTGATCGAGAGAACGGTGAAATCCCGAGACTCCCAGGAGACCCACTGCAGGCTCGGTCCCGTCCTGTAAGTTCCTAGAACTTCCAGCGCCACTTCCCAGCGCAGCGCACACGCGCTTGCAGCGGTGTTGACGGCAACCTTGCAAATCTACAAGCACTAGTCGTTTCTCACAAGCAGCCAGCTTGGATCATGTGGAGCTCAGTCCCTCACCTGGTCCAACACCATCGACTTGCTCCAGCCCTTTTGCAACAGATCAAGGGCCTGGAGGCAGACAGGTCATGAGCGAAACGCCGATCTCTCCTCTGCCGGCAGCTTTTTGGACGCCTGTGCCCATCGGCGGGACTGCTCGAAGGCACTCATTGTCGCGTTGTACACGTTCCGCTGCGTGATAGGGTCGTCGCTCAGCCGATGCCACTGCACCTGGGCATTCTGCTCAACATGCTGGCATTACAGGGGATCACAGGGGAACAGGGCACGAGCGCTCAGGCCCAGGCACAAAGCTCAGAGAGCCTCAGCTTGCTGCTGTTTGCCATCATTTTGTTCGCCGATGTTGAGGCTTGCCGAGGGTCACGCGCGCGTTCCCACAGGCCACCCTGGCCACAAGCAGTGACCAGCACCAGGCTGCTGACAGCCTGGACTCGGTCAGGCCATCTTTACAGCAGCTGGGCTTTTAGCACACCAAAGCACGGCAAATCTGGGCACAGAACCAGGCAACGGGGTTTCGGAGAGTGACAAGCGAAATTCCAAGTCCAAGACAGAGAATGAGACAGACAGGAGAGGGTACTGCGTGGAAAGGGTGGAAGGGTGGGTGGATGACATGAAGCAGAGGAGGAACGAAAAGCTATGCAAGAAAGAGAGAGAGAGAGAGAGAGGAAAAAAGAAAGCCAGAGAGATAATCAGAAAAACAATACATAGGCAAAAAGCCAGGGAATGAAAACAAGCAAGAGTCGTATTCGCAACGATGGCCCAACACCAAACAATGCAGTGCAAGAAGGCCACCAACTCGGGAGTGAAGCGCAGTTGGCTTCACTAGTGCGGGATACTGCATTGGCTCCAAGAATTGGGCATTCAGCCGAATGGAGCCCAACTTCTGGGCTAGGCCTGGGCAAAGAGCAACCACATGGCTGGGGACTCTGCCTCCTGCCTCGCTCTTGCTACCACTCTAGACAACCAAAGGCATCGGCAAAGTAGCTCCACCGCCGCTGGCCATCGCGTTGCCCTGGCGCTCGGGAAGACAGCTTTCGCAGGGGACGAAGACGGAGACGCGCAGCATCGACAGCTGTATGCCTGGTCAAAGCCAGCGCAGTGCCGTTCAGGCTGATTGCATCCGGAGGTCGTCCAAGATCCTGGAAGAAAGAAGAGAAACCCACGGTCGAATCAGCCAAGGCAAAGGCCCCGGCCGAGGAAAGCGAAGCGAGAAGATGCACGGCCTGGCATCTAAGCCGGGACCTACGGCCTACGGTGCCTGGCAGTGTCTCTTAGGCGCCCGCCCATGTCCAACTCGTGGCCTCAGCTTTGTGAAACCTGAAACCTCAGAAAGTGTTTCTTTACCTGATTTTTTCCGCCAAAGCTGCCTTCTCGCATGCGCTGATGCAGGAATTGTAGCTGACGACCTGCGTGCATGCTTAGGCGGAGTTTCATCGTCAAGGTCACCCTTGCAACCACGCTCAGGAGTCGACATCCGGGCGCGGCCAGTCCTTCATCGGAAGGCGGGCTTGCTCTAGAGTCCAGAAACAGACCGTCTGAGCATGTCCTTGTCAAGGCTCATGGCTGCGAGGAGATTGAGGGCCTCGCAGCGCACTGGCAATACGAATATCCCGTCCTCCAAAGTTCGCCTAGGCCGCCTTGAGCCACAGGGAAGCTCTTTCGCAGCCCGAAAGAACTGCGTTGCAACCTGAGCCGCCGCAAAGTACAAGTTGGCGAAATCTCTTCTGTTCGTCGGGCCGTCGGGCCCGGACCCGGCAGAAGGCAACCAAGGACGGCGGCAAGGCTGGCAAGGCCTGCCAGAAGAAGATGGCAAAAGGCAGAAAAGGCAGAAAAGGCACAAGGCTCTCAAGGGCATCCTTCGCCAGGTGGAAGTGGCCGCTCATTGTCGTCCAGCCTTGGAGCCGAGAAGCCCCATCTTCTACGTGCCCTACACACGTCCTGGGGAGCAGGCAGAAGCACCGGAGCCCCTTTGTGCTCCAGCGGCCGCGAGAGTCCTTCCATGAGATAGGGAAAGAATCCACAGCTACGACGCTGCGATATGGGCTCGCCTCGTGCGGCCGAGCTGAAGGCCACCCGAGAGCGGAGCTCCTCCCGGCAGATCTCGAAGCAGAGCTCCGAGGCCCGTGCCACGATCTGCCAAGCCTCCAGGAGGGACAAGCTGGCTTGCCAAAGCAAAGCTCCTCAACCGGTAGGTCATGTGGGTCCAATCATGTCTTCTGGCATCTTCTGGCATTCAGCTACCATCTGCTTCCGTAAAGGCCCTCTTACAAAGGTATTGCCAAGCTGAAGGGCATGCTGTCGGAGCTGCTGTGTTTTCTCGCTTCGCAGTGTCGGGGACCTCGTCAGCCCTCACTGCTGTGCAGCCGACTTGAATGTGCGAAGCTTGCAGCACTGACTGTCTTTGCTCCATCGATGCAATGTCTGGTCGGTGAGGGATGAGTGTCTAGCGCAGCCGCAGCCCAGAGCCCACGGACCAATTCCAGGTGACTGACACGATTATGCTCGTCACATGTCTGCCTGCACTCTTCAGCCCCTGGCCCATGAACGTCCGATCCTTTAAGGATCAGACGTCCGCACGCGGCCATTGTCGTATTGTAGCTAACAGTGGACCTGCACTCAGCTGCTCAGGCTGTGATCCCAATGGGCCCAGAAGACCCCATCTGCTCAGCGTGGCACAGTGGACCGATGTCATAGCGAGTGCGCGCCTGGCAGTGGCAGAGCCACCAAACAAGAAGCGGGCTGTCTCTATAGGCTAAAAAAAGTTTCTGTTGAGGCGCCTCGTTGAGCAGCGCGAGGACCAGAAGCCAATTGGTTGCCGTCGCGCCGCAGGAAGCCAGCACTGAGTTCACGCCTGGACAATTCGCCCCAAAAGAATGCTAGTTGTACTGCAGTTGAGCAGAGCTAGTCATCAAGGCAGCAGCTCACCAGGTCCGGTTGAACTCGGCCACGAGCGCAGTGTTCCCAAGCACTCAGCGACGCAAGCTTGATCTCAGCAGGAGTCCAGCATGGTCATCCATACCTTCGAGAAGCTGCAGCGAAGCCTCGCGCAAAACTGCACCGAATTTTGACGAGAAAGCAGGAGCACAAGCAAAACTTGCGCGCCGTACCTGCCATTGCTGCGAACGTTGTAGGCAAATGAGAGCAGCCTTAGGCAGGCGGAGCCCTGCAGCAACAAGCTCCCAACAGACTGCACCTGTCTCTGGTCTTGTGATACCACGGTGAGTGGCATTGAAGACCCCGGTCGTCAAGGGAATTCGATGCGATCTCATGGCCTGCTTGTGCCCACGATAACACCACATCACGCACACGCACACAGAGACTGACTGCTCTCGAGGCCAACCAACCTCCATCAGCACGAAGGCCAGATTCCAGCGACCTGGCAACCCGGTCGTTTCCGCCGGCATTTTGGCCTGCCGAGTTTTGCCTGACGTCCCAGGCAGCGCCTCGGCTTCTCGGATTGAGACTGAGGCGATTCCGCAAAGAGGGAGGAAGGCTAAGGGTCGGACGAGTATGCAGGTGGCAAATGTGATGTGGTCAGGGCTCGGTGTCGATCCTCAGCACTTCTGCGGACATGATAGATATGACATGCAAATGATGTCGGGCACACGCACGGTCATCAAACCCCAACCCCCTGGATCCGCCTCCTCCACGAAGCAGTTTCCGCAGAGCTTCTAGGGCCACCTGGCGTGGGAAGCTGTGTTCGTGCGCCGTGCAACGATGGAGGCTGAGCAAGGTATGGAGCAGGGTATGCCCTGTGTGCCTGCCACGCTGATCCGAGGCGGCAGGCAGTGAGCGCTGCATTGACACAGGCTGTGCGCGTCTGCCCCGCCTCGCTAAAGCTTGGGCTGAGTGCTGGCGAGGGAAGCTGCAACAGGGCCGGGGGCCTTCGCCTTCTCGGTGGAGGAGAGCGCGCGCTCCAATTCGGTCAGAGCCTCCACCTCGGGCGCCGGGCACGGCCCTCGCCCGGCCGGTGCAGGCCCTCGCTTCCCCGCGACGTGCAGCGCCTACTTGCTCGCTTGTTTGGCCGAGCATCCCAGCGCCGCGAGCGCCCGAGCGACACAAGGACCTGAGGCCTTGGCGAAATCGGAGCTGGTGCTGACAGGTGGATCAAGACGGTATACATAGCCATCAGACAGATGGATAAGGTATACGTAAGATAATAAGATAAGATTAGCCGAGGTGATAGATAGATAGATAAACAGATAGATAGATAAACAGATAGATAGATAGACAGACAGGTTGACGTAGACAGCGAGGTAGAATCAAGTAGATGGGCCGATAGAGAGATAAAGGCATGGAGAGATGGAAAAAGAGAGGTGAGAGTGGAAGCAGAGACATCAAGAGATAGAGAGAGACAGAGAGAAAGCTAGACAGATAGAGAGAGACAGAGAAAGACACATGCAGACACTGACAGATATAGAGATGTGGAGATAACCAAACAAATGAGCAGGTAGGAAGTCGATAGATAGATAGATGGTCAGACAGGAAGGAGATAGAGACACATTATAGAGGGAAATAGATACCGATACAGTGATACAGTCCAATGCTGATGCCCAAGTCATCTTAGCTTGAGCCGGGCATCCACAGGCGGGTGTCCAGATTCAAAGCCATCTGAATCCGAGGATCCAAGGTCTAACAGAATACTACTAAGCGGCGATGTTCGCAGTATTGCGAAAGTATTCACACTTTGGCACGAGACTCCTTAGCAAGCTGATCCGATAGCAGGTATGTTGCTGCAGTACAGTGCTGGCATGAATGAAGGGAGGGAGAGAAAGGACAAAGAAAGACAGAGGAACGGAAAGCGAAATGCAGAGAGAGAGAGAGAGCGAGAGAGAGAGAGAGCCAGCAAAGAAAACGTGCGATTCTCTCGGATCTGATGCTGAGTCCCGGACAATGCCGCGAGTGTCTCCGAAGCGAACTTGGGTGCCATGTCGCCGAACCATCTTGCGCATTGCACCCTAGCGATAAACATCAGCTTTGTTTGCGTGTTGTGCGATGGTGTGTGATTTCTTGTGTAGCTCGTCTACTGCATGTGGCGCAACACCAAGGAAACACCTGAAAGCATGCAGCGCAAATAAACGGTAGACGCTTGCAGACGCCTTTGCTCAAGTGTGGCCGTGTGCATGTGCACGCGCATGCAATGTTCACCGACATTCACCGCGCTGGTGCGTCGCATCTTCTAGGCCTAGGCCTTGCGAAATATGTCATCTTGACGATACTTTTTGAAGGCCTCGGGCAGCTCAAACGCCGGCCTGAGAGCAACAGTGTTCATGTCTGATGAAGAAAGATGCTGCCTGCGTTGCGAACCCGAACCCCTTCTTAGCGATGCCCTCTCTGGATGAAGTCCAAGATGCTCGGCGAGAGGAAAGTTGTCCTGCCACACAAGTGACAAATGCCAGTGCTGATGTTCTGCCGTCTCTTGTGAGAGATGCTGCACCACAGCACCCTCCACCAACCGAGCACCCCTTAAAGGCTCGTCTCACGAAGTATCCTGGGAGGGCACGATGTACAGATCCGGTGGGATCATCCGGAATCTGGCGACCATGAGGCTGCCGACAGAAGTTTTTTTGTGACAAATGATCGGGCCTCCGATGCATGTGCAGAGGTCGGGAAGCCTTTGGGTCAGTGCCAGTGCACGCAACTCTCCTACAAATTTTCGGGCACCTTGGTGATGGCAAGCTCGTGCCGCGCAGACTTCTCTTTCGGCTGCACGGCCAATTCGATGTAGCGTTGCTGCACTTCATCCTGCAGTCTCGCAAGCCGTGCATGCGTCTGCGGACTCCGGCCCAGAATGCCTCTCGCCGCTGCATCTCCCAAGAGATGTAAATCCTCAGACAAGTCGTCTGCAGAAGGGTCGAGTGGCAAGAGGATGCAAACGGATGCCAGAGGGGTCAGCTGAGCATCTGGCCATGGGTCTCCAAAGCTCACGTCGTAGCCACCGCTCTCGCCAGGACTCAGAGTCAGCAAGGGACAAGCTCTCCCGGTAGTGGCAGGGCAGGCCCAAGCCCCAAGCCCGGCCAGCTGCAACAGCAGCTCATCATCTTCTGCCGTCCACGGCTTGCCCTCGTTCTCCTCCAATGCCGCTTGGCTCCGTTTTCGCATTACTGCCAGGCTTTGGGGGCTCACCAATGGCTTGCCAGCAAAGCGCTGGTGGAACTCGTCGGCTGAAACCCGTGGCCAGAGGCCTGCCGCAAGACGCGATACAGCCAGTTCTGCTGGACAGCGGGGATCAAGCTTGGGGACTCGGGGCCAAGCCATGGTTGAAGAGAGTGATGTACTTGTCCAGACGCCGCCGCTGCTCGGCTGTGATGTCCTTTGATTTCTCAGGGAGGTGTGGGACACTCTGGCAGACTCAAGACACTGAGCTCTGGACCGGGATCCTCATTATGTCGCGAGCCGACATTGAAATGAAGTCTTTCCACTGCCTCTGCGCGCAGGGAGGGAGAGACAGACAGAGAGAAAACGACCCAGGGTCGTGAGTCTCTCAGGGTATCACTCAAATAGATTCGCCACATCTTCCGCACCATCCCCGAACTTCATCTGCTCCAGGAAGTCTAGGATCGTCCATCCTTCGAAACATGCCGAGTCTTAAGCACACTTATTCGGGAAGTGGCGTCCTTCGGGGGGAGGCAGGGCGTACTCTCTCCGAACCTGGAGAAGCATGGAGAAACACGGTCCACGAGGTACACGAGTACAAAGCATCCGGAAGCCCGAGCCTCCCGAAGCTCAGCTTCAGAAAGGCTCTCCTTCTTCTCCTTCAGCCTTCAGAGTACCACTACACAAGCCTCTCACAGTCACACTGCATCCACCAAGGCTTCTGCGCTTTGCGAAAAGCCTCTCAAAACTTCAACCCGTGCAGTCGCAGCTCTTCGCCTTGCCTCTTGGCCAAACCGGCGACGCCGCGCCTTGAAGTCGAAGTATTCTGGGACGTATGCAATGTGCTTCGGGATCTCATCGCCTTCGCCGAGCCTTTCACCTCGCTGTAACATGGCTGCGAGAAGCGGTAGTTGCCGAAATGCCGCTGGCGCTGCTGAAATGGCGGCGGCCCAGTATCAGGGGCGCTGCCGGCGATGAACCTTCGGAAGATTAGCCCTTCCTGCCCTGCAACACTGCAGCTCCATCACAAGGAAAACAGTAAACACATCTGAGCACCAGCGGCTTAAACCAGGTGTGCAGAGAGCCGGCAACTACAGAATCATACAATTCTGGTAAAGTGTGAAAACCTGTCCAGACGACAAGCTTTACCATATCAGCTTGATCAGGCACATCAAACGACACCGAGGCTTGAACGGTATCCAGGAAGGCAGCGTGCCCCGAGGCGAAAGGACCTCAGAGTCAGACTCCCTCGTGGAAAGCTATGAATGCACTTCAGGGCTGCAGGGTCCCAGGACCGTCACTAGCCACAGGGAACAAATACTGGACCCATGCACTATCTCAACACATCTTCAGCACTCAGGGCTCGTGCCTGGTGCCCCGAACGCGCTGCAGCATCTCCCGTTAGCAATGCAGCGCTCTGAACGAGCACATGCCGATGCAGTCACATATGATGTATGAGGATGTTTCAGATTCCGGCTTGGCCTGAAAGTGCTTCAGTCTTCATTACGGATCTTGCATTGCATCAAGCTCACGGCTCCTTAAATAAGCTGGAAGCAACTCAAATCCTCACGACTGAACAAGCATTCGATGGAACATGACTCGACTTCTGGAGGCGCGGGCTCTGAGCACTTCAGCTGTCGAGACCAAACATTTCTGCTGGACTGGCTGCAGGGAAATACTCGCACTCATTTCAGACAGCTTTTTGAAAGCCTCCCCTCGCTGCACCCTGGCTCCTGCATTTTGCAGGAACCCGTCGCAGGTCAACATGAAACAGGAAACCTCCAAAACATTAACAAAGCACAGCACGGCCACTGAAATGCTGCTGCAAGACGCAGCGGCTGTGCCAGTATGCGTATCCCTCATCCACTCTGCGAAGGCCGTCGAGCGCTCGTCATCGGGCTGAGAAGCGTTGCCTTGCACCGGGAGAAAATAGTAGTCAGGTTGTCTTGGAAACAGAAAATCAGCTCTCGCACTCCCTCGTTTACAGGAAAATGACGAGCTCCCGATCGGCCTGTGCAGAAGCTGCCGCAAGGAGAGTTGCATGCGGCTGACCTCTCAACCGACGGCTTGGACAGCTTGGATTGTCAGCTGCTTCAATCTTGATTCTTCACGGCCGTGCAATCGGTCAAGCCTCAAGCCACAATGCATCCTATATCGGATCGCGAGCTGAAGGATTGCGCGTCGGGTTTGAGACGGTGCGATGTTGTCGCAAGCCTGCGGAGTCCCGTGTTGCTGGTTCGGCTCTATGGTACGTGCCCTGCTCCGCTTAACTACAACTTTGCATGACTTGCACCGACTGAAGTGAGGGTGTCTTAGAGTCCTATCAGCTCGAATCCTTAAAGCCTTACGTCGCCTTACGTCTTGCACCATGGCAGAAGTTGGCTCCGGCCTTCAGACCGAAGGCGGAGCTGCGGAATAGGCGGCGGCAAGGGCGGCGGCGGCCGCGAGTTCGACACCAACTGCGGAGTTGACCGCGATGATGCGATCGATCTGTACCCGGTCGCAGTCGTCGCCGGGTCGAGGCCCGGGCTCGGAGCCTGGCAGGACTCTGCTGCCTGCTGCGCAAGAGATCGAAGAAAGAGAGAGAGTTCCGGGGGCCTCCGAAGGCTTCGGACTGGAGGTTATCTGCGATGATGTTGGCGACCCGTCGGATTCAGCGACAGCTGCCTGAAACCAGGTCCCAGCCACCCAACTGCAACAGTTGTTTTGCGTGGTTGCGGGTATCACGTTAGCGAAGCAGGGGACCAACCAACGAGGCTAGCACGCACTCACAGACTCGGGGTGCTTGCGCGACAGAAGTTGGGCCAATGATTGGGCCTGAGATGTACTGCATGACTACTGGACCGTATCCTCCGTTGACATGCATGAGACGACTGCAATGGTGGCATTATCATCATGAGCTCTGGACAAGTCTCGCTCCTACAGCTTCTAACTGGCTGCGAACAGGAGTTCGCTCTTCTTTTCCACTACCCGCGGAGTGTCGTGGCGTCGGGTTTCAGACCCCTGCTCAAGCCCTTTCAAGGCGAACAGGTCGGTCCGCAGTCTGCCACTCCGCGCGGAACGACCACCCTCACGCGCGGCTCACTGGGAGGCTGTTGGCAGCGCTAACTGGCCGACCAGGTCTTCGAACAGGGCCGCGTCGGGTGTCACAGAGGTCTCCGTCAACTTCTGTAGGGTAGTCCACGTCTTGCTGAAGTCGGGGCCGCAGCGTCGGCACCCTAACGAGTCGCTCAGTGCCCAGTCTCCCCTTGAGGCTGCGTCTGACAGGTTCGCTTCACTGGAAACCCTAACAAAGAAAAGGTTGAGACTCCGAGAGGCTACCCAGCTCCAAAACCAACCTAACAGGTTTGTCAGGGCTGCGTCTTTCGAGTAGCCTTTCTTAAGTGCGTGTTCACTGGCACTGTTGTCCACAAAGCAAACCACGTCTCCTGACAGGAAAGGGGAGACAACTGCCAAGCTCATAATCTGAGCTAAAGCCTCCAGCCAGAAGATGAATGCCTTGGACGTTGCTACCTTGCTGAGAAGACTAGCAGGTACTTCAGTTCGGAATGCAAGTCTCTCTCCTAACGGAGAGAAGAAGACGGCACCGACTCCATTACTAGAGCCTCTTAGGACCGCCAACGCAGTTGCCTGTTTCAACCACTTGCTAGCTGACTGACGGGAGCCTGCTAGGGTTATGTATGCATCTGCGTACAGCAGATGTGGCCTGCGCGGAGTGAGGGAACTCCGTAACGGGAAAGTCCTGGGCTGTAGCAGGGGGAGCAGGCCTAATAGGCTCCTAAGTGCTGCCCTCAAGGGCTCGTTCAAGGAAGTCTAGGGAAAAGGGCAGTGCTGCCTGGTGTAAAGCGGCTTCAACAAGGCTTTGCCCACCCCCGCAAAGACCCAAGAGCAGACGAAGTTGAGTTTGCCTGCCAAGTGTGCGGCCTCTTCTGACGTGAGTCTGTTGTCTGACAGGGCTTTCTCAACCAGACTCTTGAGCCTGGCAATCCTGGAGGGACTGGCCCCAGCTCTCACTCTGTCGGCAAGGATCTCCCACACGACACCAGCAAGGTGGCGTTGGTCGTTGGCTTTTGGGCCTTGGACTCTTTCATCGTGAAACCTAACAAGGCTTGCAGGAGGCAGAAAGACGTGAAGGCTGACTCGCTCATATGTGCTGGCTCGGAGTAAAAGTAGTCGTCTACAAAATGCGCTGCCGGGATGAACAGCAGGGTGATGGTGAGAAAGCAGACGATGTCTGCAATCCTCAGGTAGCTCCACACGCTACCTGTGCCCCCGAATGGGAGGACCAGGTGTCGGAATACGCTAGGTTCGGCTTGGTTGGGGACGAACACATAGCACTCCTGGGGGTCTCTAACGGGCAGGGCTCGGTATGCTCCGTCGTGGTCTAAGGCTGCAACGGTAGGTTCTCCGAACTGGGCCGCCGCCTGAACCAGGTTGAGAACCGACTGGGTTCCCGCGTAAGGCGGGGAGTCCTGCACGAAAACTGTGCTATTGTGGTGGGACCTGCGCCAGTCGTCGGCGCGTCTCACTTTGTCCTGTTGCACTGCCGGGAACGCACGTGCAGCTCGCGACCGTGGGTCGTCGGCGACCTGACCGGGTTCGAAAGGACCTTGGAACCTGGCCTTCAGCTGTTCGTTTGCAATCTCTTCGAGCATCGTGGCTGTATGCTCCGAAGGCTTAGTGTCGGAATGCAAAGAGCGTTTGTGTTCAGCGTTCAGCGCCTGGAACTGCGAACGGGACAGAGGCCTGCTGTACTTGGCGTCCTGACGGGCGTCCCAACCGGTACCCGGGGTAAGGGGGCCTAAAACCTTAAAAACGAACTGGAGTTCTTCTGCCACCTGGGTGGTGCCTGGAAACTCGAACAAGGTGAGCAGGTGAAGTACTACCAGGGGCTGCAGCACCAAAGACTCACCACCCTGTCGGTAGACTTGCTGAACGTGCTGAGGTGCTGACTGGAGCCAGTATTCCTGCTCGAACTGGAGGTCCTCCTTCAGGCTTCTCACATCCTGAACGAGCTCTTCTCTCCAGAGACCAAGGTCTCGGCCTAAGCTCTGTCCTAACTGGAGGGCCCACTGCAGGCAAGGGTTGTTCTCAGAGAAGTGAAGTTGGTTTGAGTCGAGGGACAGTGCCCACTGCAGGTGCTGCTGCGTGTTCTCAGTGGGTCCTGACAGGTGTACACTAGGGGGTTCTCTAGGGTCCCACTGAAGTCCAGAGGAAAGCCAGATCTTTGCAGCGCGCTCGATCGGCCGAGCACCTGACGGGTTAAGGTTGGAGCTCCACGGTAGAGCCTCCACTCGTGTGTACCACTCTGATACTGGGCCCGCTGTCACCGGGATCACGTTGCAGCTGGCCAGCAGCACAAAGAGAATGAACCTCGCTGACGGGAGGTGCCACGAGTTGCCAAGCATCTTGCACCGGGAGTACTCGGAAATTTGAGATCCTGCCGGCAGAGTGGTTCCCGGCGGAAGACCTTGGATCCACTCTCTGGTCGCGGCATCTGGCGTTTGCCACTTGCCGTGCACTCTCACTGACACTTGCTCTCTGTACTGGTGAGGAGGGTACTGCCGGGAGGCTGCTGCCCACCGTTGGAGCGTGTCAGCGGTTTCGGCCCGTCTTCTTTTGCACGGCGGTTCGCGACCCTCTGGCGTGGGTGCCGGTGTGGTTAAGCAGGGAAACAAGGTCCTACCTGCTACCACCTCCTCGTGAAAAGTCGCGAACTGGCAATCCCCTGCGGCTTGGCGGGGGAATAAGTTAGAGCTAGGCAAAAGTTGCCAAGTCCTATTAAATTTACCCCATCGCGCCAAGCCTGCGAGCACTGGGGCGGTTTGGGTCTGTGGCGTGTCGCTACCCGGTGGGGTGATCACGTTGGACCACCACAGCCTCGGTCTCGAGGTCAGGCCGAAGGACGCAGCGTCTACCACAAAGGCGGCGCTCTGAAGCAAGTTGTTGAGTTCTGACTGGAGTGAGGCGGCTGTGACCACGTTCTCCACAAGGAACACGTGCTGTCTTTTGAGAGCTAACCGGAACTTCTTAAACCAGGCGACCCACAACCTGAACTTACAACCTTCACTGCCTTGGAGTCCAGGCTGACGGGAACGGATCCGACTGAAGTCGGTGCACGGGAGGCTCGCACACACGAGAACCAAGGTGTCTGCGGGACACTGGGAGTGCAACAACTCGGCAACTGACTGGGGGTCGCAGGCCAGAGCGTCGCCCCAGTGTCTAACTTGAGGAGTGTGGCTCGAGGTGACTTTCTTGCAGTCTTCGTCAATCTCCCAAGACCAGGAGATGACTGGTGACACGCCTAAGTCCGCAGAAGAAGGAGAGGACTGCTATGGGCCTGGAGGACGGACGGAGCGACCGTCGCAGTGCGGCACTAGCCCAAGCCGAATTGGGCGAAGGAGGAAGGTGTGGGTGCTCACCCTGCTGGAGGCACACCACTGCAGGCTGCTGGGAGGAGGACGGTGGTGCGGCAGTGTGTGGTTGGACGGTGGACCCTGACGGGGACTGCACAGAGGTGTTGTGTGGGTGCTTGACCTGCTGGGAGCACACCACTGCCGGACGCACAGATGAGGAGGGTGGCACGGGCAAGATAGGATGGGTGGTGGCCTCTGACTGGAAGTGTACAGAGGTGTTGTGTGGGTGCTCGACTTGCTGGGAGCACACCACTGCTGGAGGAGTAAGCACTGTTGACCTGGGGTGCTCAACCGGACGGGAGCACTGCAGGGGTTGCTGGATGGGCTGCGGCAAAGCCTGACGGGGGTTGGGGAGGAGAGCGACAGTGTAGGCTGGCGTGCTGGCCGTAATCGGCGCAACAGCCTGACGGGCAGGACGAGCACACTCAGGGTTCGGGCCTGCACACCTAACGGGTGCAGGAGAGCACGGGTTAGGGACTAAGGCAGTTTTACTGGTGACAGGGTGTGGGCCCTGACTTGGCAGGTCGGCTCTGACTGGCGGGCCCTCCAGCTGGCCGTGCTGTCCCTATGTTCGCGAAGCAACCTGAAAGGGAGCCTGCGGCACAACTGGCGGGAACGGAGGCAAGCCTGAGGGGGCAGCAGCTGTCTGGGGGCCATGTGCGAACTTGCACGCGGAACCGAACTTGCAGAATCCCTGGGCAAACAGACGGCACTGAGGCCGAGGCTGGCTAAAAGGACTGGGTCGGTAAGGTGAGGACTGCCACTGACGCTGACTGGCAAACTTGCCCTTGCCGCCATCAAACCCCTTGTCAAACGACTTACCTTTAGACCCCTTGGAGTCACCTTTGTGGCCTTGGTCACCTTTGCCTTTCCTGGGCTCGGCACTGTCGAACGGGGCTGGACGATTGAGCTCGTCCTGCTTGGGCCACGCCATCACCTCGTTGGCCGCCTCATGGAAGGACTTGTTGGCTCTCATCTGCAAACTAACATGTAGGAAAGCCTTGTCAAAGAACGCCCTAATTTGGGGGTACTTATTGGGGTAGTCTCTGCAAAGGTTCTGCCAAAACTCGGCCCACGATCTGGCGTCATGTTCATCGCACCAACGGGAGAACATGAGGGCCCACTTGATGGCATCCACTGCATCTAACAGGGTAACAAGCTGTTGGGGCTCCGGCACGTGACGCATGGCCTTGGTAAAGGTACCTGAGTCCTCGAGGATCATCTTGGTGCGGCTGTCGTCCTTGGGCGCGAACGGGTTGGCTGCCTTGCTCGGTGTGAAGTGGCGTAAGGAGATTATCTCTCCGAGCCGGACAGGAGAGTACTGCTTGGAGACCTGGTGCTGGTGCACCATTCTAGCTAGCACTTCTTCAGCTCCTAACAACAAGTGTGCTGGGAACTCTCTGTTGCGACCTAACAGGACCACAGACTCAAACTCTTTGACGTTGTCGGACCAGTGAACCTTGTCGGAGTCCGACGCTGCCGGTGCTGAGGAGCCTGACGGGGCGGTCGGAGCCATTGGCGTGGATGCTGCAAGCATCTGAGTACGCCTAACGGAAAGCTCATCGAGCGCTACCAAAGTCGCTGCTTCCAAGATGAGCCTTTCGTCGTCTGTCCTCTTAACTGTGCTGCCTGCCAGGTCAAATCCTGCACGCAGTGGTTCAAAGAACGGGGCAATCTTTGTGTGATCTGTGAAGTAGTGCAGGAAGAGGCCTGCGTTGGTGATGCCTTTAGCTGACAGGTAAGCAATGATCTCGGTGTCAAAACCTGCCCTGGCAGCAACATCATCGAGGTCCGGCAGAGCTAAAGCTGGCGGCATTGTGCTCCTGGGAGGAGTCTGAATCAGTGCCCGACTCTACTTCTCTAGCTTGAACACTAGGGGCTGCCGGGCGGTCACGGTCCTCAGCTGACGGGAAACAAAGCGAGCACTTGGTGTAGCCTTCGAGAACTGACAAGTTCCTTCTATTGGAGCTTGCGCCGTACCACCACTTCCCACACAAAGTGACCCAAGACTCGCTCGGCAGTTGACTCTCACTGGGGGAGGGTAGGTGGCACAACTTCGAACGGGTGTTGTGTACCATGAGCTGAGACACTTTCAAAGCTGACTGGACGGCTTCTCTAACTAGGTCCTGGACCTGGCCTTGCTGCACTAGCTGACTGGGGGCTCGAGTGCTGCTACTGGGTACACGGGAAAGGGAGGGGCTGCTAACATGCAAGCTCACCGCTTCCGACGCCTTTTCCGGCAGCATGACGGCGGCCTCCTGCACATAGCGAAGCACTGACGTGCCTCCCCAGCGGCCCAGCAATTGAATGTATGTGACATCTAGGAGAGACCTGGCAAACAACTGGGCGCCAGCTACCCGGAACACGTGTTGCGACCAACGGGACACTGCGTCGTGTCCCCACTGGTCCAGCTGCTCTTGCTGCAACAGAAACGCACACGCTCCCGCCAAGAAGACCACCTGTGCCTTCGTGGCAACCTCAGCTGACCGGGCTGTAAACAAGCGTAAACAAGTGTGTGTCTGGCTGCCAGGTCTGTTCGCGGCGCAACTGGACGACTACCCGGAGGAGGGCGTGGTACACGCACAGAGTGTGCATGCCGTCGTCACAAAGACACTTCTGAAAGGCAGTCCCGAACAACTCTGGCGGGGTAGTCTGTTTGCACTCTGGAGGTCCAACTTCGCAGTCGCTGGTCCAAGGCCCCGGTTGATGCTGCGAAGGGCTTGGGCGCGTGCCTCGTCCAGGTCTGGGCCCCAGACGAACCCCGCCTCCTTGTGCTTCTGTTTTGCTACCGAGATGTACTGCGCGGCAGACCGGTAGCCGCCGGCCTTCAGCAAAGCTCCAACTGCAAAGAGGGACTGACTGGTGAGAGGGATGTTGGGGTACCCTCGGCGCTCTGACAGGCGGGTCCATGTGACCCAACGGCTTTCTCGCGGGGCCTGAGAAGATGCGGCCGATCTATCTCTCAGGAAGAGCCTGTCGGCTTCGTCCAGGTTAACTTGGGCAACCTCGTTACAACCTGGAGGGGAGGGCTCAATACCGAGCCGTTGCAGAGAACCCCGTGTCCGGGGCAGTACTTGGGGTATGTCCTGACGGGACTTCTTGCTTGGCCTGGCTGGCGCAGCTAACAAGTCATCAAGCGCCACATCCCCAAGTATAGCACGTAGGGAGGACCTGGGGTGGCGTTCAAGGTCGTAGGCTGACTGGATGCCAGCTGACTGAAGTTGTGGCAAAAACTGCACAAGCTTCTTGTGTAGCAGGACCTCTGTCAAGCTGGCGAACGTGTGTCTCTCGGACTTAACACAGTCGGACCACATGACGCAAGACCACCTAACGGCTTGGGCTGACTAAGGGTCTGCTCGAGGAGGTCTGGCTGACGGGTCAAGCAAGCATGGGGCAACTAGCTGGGGGATACTGCTGGGGCCTTGTAACACTGACCACGCGCAACACTCCTAACATGTGTGTTCCTGGCACGACTGTCTCTAACGCAGAAAGCTCACTCACGCACACACACACACACACACACACACACACACACACACACACACACACACACACACACACACACACACACACACACACCACACACACACACACACACACACACACACCCTAACAAGCTGCAGCACTGACTGGCACACACTTGCCTGCACACTGTTACAAGGACCTTAGCAGCAGAGGGGGCGAGAGCACACACCGGCGGGAGCTGACGGGAGTGGCTGCTCTCTACCAAGCGCACACAAGCTAACACGTGGACTGCAGAAGGAACCCTGGCGACCGCAAACGGCGCCTTGCCCTGACGGGCTCTTTTGCACGAACTGTCTGTGCGAAGGAGGAGGCTAAACCTCGGCGTCGCTGTTAGCTGAGTGTCCTGGGGGTCCTGCCACATGTGGTCGCTGACAGGTAAAAAGTCAGCTCTGACAGGCCCCCTCTCTCTAGGCTAACTGGCATCTGAGCATCAGCCTTTGTACAGGCAGGGCAGCGGTGCCTGCTGTGGGCAGTTCGGTAGCCCCTGAGGTTGTGGCGTGTACATGTGTGCCTCAGGCACCGTGGGCACCTGACCCTGCATGCCGACCTCAGGTCCCAATAACTGGGAGGTGTGGTACTAAAAGGCTGCCCGTCCTCAGCGACGAGTGGCGCCCACGAAGGCAAGTTGTCCTCCGTGTGCACCGGCACGGCAGCTCCACGAGGGTCACCTGTGTAGCCCGGGAAGTAGCCCGGCGGAGGTCCTGACGGGAGCTTCGGTGTGGCGTCGGTGTCCGCGGTGGCCTTGGGCTGCGGCTGCTCGGTGGGCTGACGGGTCTTTTCCTTGCCCTTCTCGGTGCCCTTGCCACTTGGTGCTCCCGAACTGCCTTCTTGGCAGCCTCGGCGTCGGTGGAAGCGGCTGCCCCCGAGCTCGACGAACTGGCTGGCGGCTTCCATTCATCTGGCACTACCGAGAGGGACTTCTTCGGCGGTGGTGGCGTCGTTCCCCATCTGCTTGAAAGCATCCAAGCCCTCAGCCACGCTCTGCCCGAAGAGAGCTGACAGGCGGGCTCTGTGTGCGACCCGGAACTCCTCAAGGGCGTCCATCAGGTCATCTTCCTTGGCTTCGCACAGCAAGCGAAGGGCTGCCACCACTGCAGGGTTGAGCTTCTTGGGGCTGACGGGTACAGCAGCCATGGCGGCACACGGGACCTAGCTGTCGCTTTCAGGCAAAACTCGAGAGGACACAGCTCTGACTGGAAAGTCACAGTTCAGCTGTTTCGCTCTACTTGTCACAAGGTGCACACGTGCACTTCCACACAAAGTTCGCGAAAGAAGCGGGAAACCAAGGGCGACTGAGGCGACAGAAGGCCGGAGCCGACCTGTTGAGCTGAGGATAGGAAGAAACGACGTGTGAGGCGCCCCCGACTCACCAAAGAACTGTCTGAATGATCGCTGGGGCAAGCTCAAGTATCCTTCTACATGCTCAGTATTTGGAGACAAGGTCCGAGCTGGGTTTCAAAATTTCACCACTAGCTCACTAGCTGTTGCGTGATCACGGCATCTTCTTGGGAGAGCGAGTGCCTCCTCTCCGCCTGCGGTTCGAGGCCTGGGCCTCCGCTTCTCGCAGGGAACAGTTGGCCTGTCCACAAATCTTCGCACAAAGTCTTCTCAAGCGAGAACATACCCGCCTCTTGGGTAAAGGCATCGAAGGAGATCGAGTCATCGAACTCTTCCCCGCAGGACTTCCTGCCAAAACACGCACTGTTTGGACGGCAAGTTCTCACGCTATCATTCGACGTCACGAGCGGAACCAGTTGGCCAAGTTTAAGAGATTGGCTGCCTGACTCTTCCGCTGATGCACCTTCTTTGGCGGAATCAGGCGGCTTTGCACCTGCTGCTCATGATGTTCTCAGTACATCAAAGAGTTCAAGGCGTGCACTGCTGGCCCTGAGTGAGTGTCGAGTGTACGCCAAGCGACCGCTGGCTGCTGGGACCTTTCTGGCGTGTACAGCCGAGTCCTACAGGCACCGGCTCACGGATGGATGCGGGGCGGGGGGGGCCTTGTCACTGCGAGCAGCGCAGGTCGAAGACAGGTTAGGAGCGCTCTTCTGCCGAGAACCCCCCCGAGTCCTCGGACTTCCAGCTGCCGGGAAATGCAGGAAGCGGAGGTGGAGCCTGGGCCTGCAATCGCAACGAATCGTAACGCTTCCTGCAGCCCGACTCTCAGAGATTCGGGCCTCCGCCAAACGGGCCGAAAGAGGTCTGGAGGGTGCGCATTGCCTCAAGCACTCCAACGATATGATCCTCGACCTGTCTGAGTTGCATCACTCTGCTCCGACGAGCTCGATGACGGCTGCCAAGGAACAGTCTCGAAGATTCGCTTCTCTCTGATGCAGGCTCCGAAGACCGCTGCCGCTGCACCCGAAACCTTCGATACTTTCTTGTCCTTTCATCCTTTATCTGCTGCAAGCCTTGCCTCAGGTCGTTGACAGATGCCGAGCGCGACAATGCTGCCTGGCGAAAAAGAGGAAGTTGCGCGACCGTGCGTTTTGGCATGCTGTCTGAGCCTCTGCAGATCGAGGTGGTGGTTCGAATCTCTCGCTGTCCCCCTTCAATGTTCGTGGTCTGGATCTGCCATAGTGGGATCTGCTTCTGTGGGCCTTTTGTGCGTCACCCTCCTCGGCGCCAGTGGGACCTCTCATAGCACAAGCTTTCACTCAACGAAGGAGCCGAGGCCACAAGCTCGCCTAGCGACTTCTTCCGGACGATGGAGCCCTTGAAGAAGGTCAGCCTGCAGGGACGAGCACAAGTCACGGAAAAGGGAGCTGGCCAAACCACAGGAAGCCGGAGATGGAGTCGAAAAAACAGCAGGGGAGGTTGGATTAAAGAGGAACAACTGTTCGGGATTCATGTCCAGACACTTTGGAGGTTCTGGGACAACCCCCTTGGTTGCAAGTACGGGGTCACGGCCTCGAGCACAGTAGACTGTCGGTGTTCGCAGCTCGAACGATTTCGGTATTCAGGGTTTAGGGTCTGCAGCATTCCTCCCTTTCCCACTCGCCGGCCTGTCCACATCCTTCGGAAGCCGCTTGGGCTGGAAGGCAAAGACAGTCCGCCCACGAGTATTTTGGAGCATCAGTCATGGAGCACCAACATGCAACCATGCGGCATGGCTCTACACTGCTGCGCAAAAGCACGTAGAAGAGACTCTACGACTGGCCACTACCAATGTGCACTGGGCCAGCATTTCCCACACTCTAGCTTTAGCACATGCTGAATCCGGATGGTGCACAGCATACTCACCTCAGCAACGACAATCGAAAAATCCAGAAAGGAGGTGTGCATCTGACGACATATTGTTCCTGACATGTTGTTGTTCACGGGCCACACGACTGAAAACGCTGAAGCTGCGGATAGGTGAAGGAGATCCGATGAAGAAGCAAAACCAAAAAGTGCTCTGCATAATGAAACATTGCTCCAACTTCTTGAGCAGCACGAAGTCTTGGACGAAACATTCCATGCCTGAACTTGCGACCGCATCATTCAACCAAGCAGAAGGCTTTTCTGCAAGGGGTCGAAGCATGCCAAGTGGATGTTGACGGCCGTGAGCCTCGGTAGCGCTGCAGGGTTAAGACTTCCGGCCAACTAGGTTAACTATGTAATGGCCACTGTCGCATGTAAGCATTCGACCTGAAAGGAGCCTCGCAAGTTCACCCAACAGCAAAGGTTCATGAAATCCTTTGAAACTTCCGGGCCTGCCCTCCGTGCCAGAAAGCGGTAACATGCCGTGACCTGTGGAGTTTGAGAAGGGAAGGGGCGCGCATGCAGATCTCCCTCCTTGGTGAGAACACCGGCAATTTCTCCTTTTGCGGCTATGTCAGGCCCAAGGTCCGGCAGAGCACCTGCAAGGCCTGGCCAGCACCTGCAGAAGGAAGGAAGACAGAGAGAGAGAGAGAGGGAGGGAGGGAGGGAGGGAGGGGAGGGAAGAGCTTTGCAGTAGTTCTCTATCATTGGTCTCTTCCACCCTACAGGGTGCAGACCTGCCTGAGCCTTCCAAATCCGCAGTGGAGGCCACTGTGGGCGCACTCTCGTCGGAAGCACCTTACAGTGGCCCGCGGTGTGAGAAAGTCGGTGCAAACAAGAACGAATCCTGGGTGCTGACTCGAGGGGCAGTCTGACGTAACGGACGAGTCCTCTCTTGCAGCCATCAAGAAGCCGCCCGTGGCACTGGTCATATGAATGCCTCGTCCGAGCTTTGCAAAGCTGTTGCCCGCGTGGGTGCACCTGACAGGCTAACAAGTCACTGCCTCTGAGACTGTATGGCTCTAGGACAGCCGGTTGAGGCGTGGGCTTCGTCGGATCTTGGCTGCCTCCCTGCCGAGGCTAGGGCAAGCTCAAGTTCTTGAAAGTAGGCTATGTCTGGGCCTCAGCATTTGCATCGCCTCACCGAGCTCTTGCGAGGGCTCCTCCTGAGTCTGAACCGACTTCGAAAGGGGCCCGGCCAGACACGTTCAGCCGTTCAGCACTCCTGCGCTGCTGCCATGTGAGCAGCGGCGGTGCAAAGGCTTCGGAAGACCTCCGGCCTCTCCTACGGGTAGCTCCGCACAAAACAAAGACGAAGCAGCGCTCTTCAGAGGCAGCGGCCTCCACTTCAATGCAGACTGCCAGGCGTGCAAGAAGCACAGCTGTCGCCTGATGCAGCTGCGCACTGACGCTTGACCCAATGAAGGCGCAAGACGCTAGCGCCGCAAGAGGGCCGTCGCCTTGCAGAGCGGCACGTGCCTGAAACAGCCCCACAGTGACAGCCCCTTTAGGGCAAGTCCAAAAAGATGAGCGCCCTATCCCACAGACTCGAGGCCAGACCTCGCCAGCTCGGCAGTCGCCCCTCGCAATTCCCGCTGCTCGAGGAAACCGCTCAGGAGCTGCGCCAATCCTATGATCGCTGGCACATCCGATCAGAGCTCTATGCTGAAACCAAGTTTGAACGGTCAAGCGGAATATCATTCACCTTACAGAGCTCAAACGAAGTGAGAACCTAGCCGCGGAACAGCAAATGCAGAGACGCCCGTTAGCAGCCGGGCGTCTACTCCACTCCGGCGATGCCAGGTCGCCAAACGCGGAGTGCAGACCTTGACTTCGCATATTCTCTCACAGATGCTCGTTCGGCTCAAGCGACACTTTGGCAACACCAAAGAGATAATCAAAGCAATGAAAGTCAACCAGGATCGCTTCGTCTTCCGTTCACGCCCTAGCTATGTGTGGAGCTATGAACATGAGGTGTTCCTACGACTTGCCTCTTGTCGCTTAACATAGCCTCGCATGGTGCGTGTTTCGCAGCATTGCGGCAGAGTGTCAGTAAGTTGGCTCGAGCGGGCCTTACGTCCCTAAGCCTTACATGCAAAGATGTATGTCTTGGACTTGGGCTCAGGCACTGCGTGGATGCCACGAGAGCAGCAAGCGCCTGGACCAGAAAAGGCACTGACTGCTGTCCTCTTTTTAGCATTGTTCCTTCCATGAGCCCACTACCCGCAGCAAGTCAGGTCGAGGTCGTCGGGCACAGCATTCCAAGCCAGCCACCGCGACAGCTCCCGGTGAAGGTGCCAGTGGCCCAAGCGCGACGCAGAAACGCACCGATGCTTCGGCCGACACCCCGGAGGATAATGAGTCGCATTCGTCGCGCAGGCCATTCTCCACAGCTTGCAAGCAGGTCTTCAGAAACTCTGGACGCCTGGATCCTGTATCAGCCATTAGTTTGATCCAAGTCCCTGAAGCTTCCAATGCAGCAGAGCGCGCCTCTACGCTGTACGCACTGGTCAGCATGTGCTGCAGCACAGCTACCATTTTTCGTCCGGCTGTCTTCAGGCTTTCAGCTGCATGTCGTGTGGAGTGCTGTCTCATGGCAAGTACGCTGATCAAAGTGCAAAGCCGCTTCGCAATGCTGTCTGCCAGCTGAGGTTCCAGAGCATCTTGTTGAAGTTCACCTAGCTCCCCCAACTTTTCACAGGCCCACATCAGCACTGCCACACCGCTCTGGGGTGGCCGAAATGCAGGCAGCAGCCTCCCACATGCTGATCCTTAGTTAGATGTGCACTGCTTATATCGGCATGCGATGCTATGCAAAAGGCAAGAACCAACTACAGCACTGCAGAGGGCGTAAAGACCCAAAATGCTTGTAAACTAATATCCTCCTGTTGTTCAATGTTCAACACCAACCGACGGTCCAGAGCCTTCTCCAACCGGCAGAATATGTTCTTGGGGCCGGGTTGCTAGGACAAGCGGCCTCAAGTGCGGCCAGTGCGTGCGGGAAGGCAAGGTCACGAAGCTGCAAATATTGCAGCTGCTGCAAAAGAGGAGGAAGCAATCTCTCTGTGAGCCTTGCTGAGCCACAGCGTGTCTCAGCAGGGATTAGAGCACACAGATCAGCAACCAACGCGAAGGCCACCACATGCAGGGCTGGTTGTGCCAGAGCTCGCAACACGAGTCTAGAAATACGATGAAGCTGCTTCTTCACCCCTGAGGTGCACCCTGGTAGCACCGCCCGCAGGCTTGCGAGCGCCGCAAGTTTGGCGGGCAAGTCGGAGCCCATCAAGGTCCGACATGCGCTGCGGTAAATGATTGGCAAGACCAGCTTGTCCGGCATCCGCTTGGAGATGCGGGTGAGCAGCGCGTACTCGGCTGCGCTCTGCGCCGAGTTGCCGACAAGATGCCCTTCGTTTGCATGTGCGCAGCTGGCTTTGGCTCGCACCTCGTCCGGCGCCACAAGTTCCACCAAGGTCACCAAGACCTCCCCTGCCGAGAGCTGACCCTCACCCTGCACGCAAAGCAGCCGGGAGTGCGAGTCAGCGATGCTGTGAAGCAAACGCAGCGCGCTGAGACGCCGCTGCCCTTTCTGTGTGACTGAGGCTGTGAGGGCAAGCTGGACGACTCTGCAGAGCTCCGAAGGTGGTTGGCCCTGGCCCGGCATGGCATAGAAGGATGCATCTGCAATGAGGAGCTCGTCAGCAGCTGCCGCTCGAGATAATGCTTCCAAGGCAGCGTCACAGAGCTCGCTTCCCATAACGAGGTCGCTGACAAGCAGTCCGACAACCTGGTGATGAAAGAGGCGTGCAGCTTCCTCGCCCCTGACGATTGCGGCAAGGCTCCCAAGGCATTGGATGGCACGCTCCGCATGAACCTGCCGAGACTGTGCGTCACCCTCCTTCATTACAGAGATGCAGATCATGCAGGCCCCACAGAGCTCCAAGAGATGGGGCTCAAGAAGATTTTGCCACGGAGGTGAGACCAAGAGTCCGCCGAGGAGGCACAGGACTCCAAGAAGTTGCAGAGAGGCCGCTGCAGGCAGTGGCCGCTCACCTTTGGCAGCTACCTTTCTGATCCACAGCAGCAGTTCTAACCACATGACACCCTCTACTGCAAGACTGCAAGCTACACCAGCAACGCAGTCTGCTATGATCTTTACCGTCGAAGCGCTCGACGGAAATTCCATTGCATGCAGAAGACGAGCTTGCAGAAACGTCCGGTCGGATACAGCCAACGTAGGCCAGCATTCCTGCATGCGTCTCCCCAGCAAGACACTTGCCAGCTGATTCGGAGGGTTCGTCTCCAAGACGGAAAGCAGGTCCAGAGGATGTGATGACAGGCACCTTGACTCAAGATTCTGCCGCTCCCGTGGAGAAAGAGGCAGCAGCAGCTTGGCCAAGTCATCTTGCAAGGAAGCCATCAGGCTTTGCTTGAATCTGGTGATATCACGGATGTGCTGGCCAGGTTAGGCTAGAACCTGGAAAGGCATTTCCTAGCTACTACTTGTAGTAGGGGCTGAGTGGGCGAGGCTGGGGTAAGCGAAGAGGCTAGGCTCAGGCGAGGCGAGGCTCAGCTAGGTCAGGTTGGGATGCGACGCAGGACTAGGTTTGACCGAGCTTGGCACGGCTCGGCCAGGCGAGGCTCAGCTAAGCAAGGCTGGGCTAGGCGAGGCCAGGCTTAGCTTGGGTAGGCGAGGCAGGCGTGGCTAGGCTTAGCTTGGCTAGGCTGGGTTCAGCTAGGCTCAGCTAGGCCAGGCTAGGCGCGGCAGGCTAGGCGAGTCTAGGTAAGCAAATGGCGATCCGAATGCAGCGGAAAGGAAAAGCTTCGGACATAATC